TAGCACTTATAATATTTTCTCCTGTTTGATAATCTCTGATGTGTTCCTGAAATCAGTTTAGATTATATAACTCAATGATTTCAAACTGTGGCTCATGAGTTGAAATGGGATGCCTAAAGCAATTTTATAGGGCGCTAAAATATATTTTAATTTTGTATTTGTTGTAAATATCATGTCTATTTTTAAGAGATGTAGAGATATGGATTAAGCTTGTGTGCACAACTTCTGTTAAGGGGAAATAAGAGAGAATGAATGGGTTAGTGCCTTTGGTCATTGTATGCTCTTGCAGGTACATACACAGGTTAAAGAAAGGCTGCACCTGTGCATTCCCATAGTTATATATTAGATATGGCGGGGCTTTGCTAACTGATAAGTTTCCACACCAGTTTTGAGGGAGAAACTCCAGGTGCGATCCAAGGGTCTCTCACCTCTCTTTGTGTGCCACCAGTTTCTCAAGAGGACTTCTCAGCTTGCCATGTATTTTTCAGTATGCCCTTGCCACATAGACACTATAGGCTTACAATCATCCGTGTTTTCTCTGGAATTCGAATATGGGTCCATTGATAAAGCAGTCGTTGTCACCAAACACTGTACTGATTAGCATGCTTGTTGACTGATTTTAAGATGGAAGAACTTCCTAGTGGGTTACAGTCAGTAAATTTAGTTTACCAGCGAACAGTTGGTGGTGCTTCAGTATTCTGTTGTTTCTAGTTTTTCCTATTAAATTGATACTTGTGATATATTCCTTCTGATACCAAGTCACTCTAGATCATAAGGTCTGTTATTAGACCAGGTGGATTGGGTTGTATTCCTCTCATTTGCAACTAAGTCACTCTGGATAGTTAGCTGGATGCAAGAAACTTATTTAACAGTGCTTTGGCTGGATGCACAGCTGCATAATTTATATTGCTATATAGATTGAGACAAAGTAATATCTGGCTTATAAAACTGCATTTTTTATACTTTTTGTTAGATCTATGTTGTATCAATACTTATTGTTTAGAGGTGTACTAATTTTGAGTGTTGCTTTCACATGAAACTTGATCATGTTGAATAAATGAAATTATAACTGCAATTTTTAATTAAGAACTTTAACTGCAAGCCATGCTTTCAGCAAACCAAATAAGGAAAGTGGATGAAGAAGGGCATGTTTATCAAGGTAGAGTGTAAATTTTGCACTTTTATGGTTTTATGTATGATAAAATTTCTTCTTTTATTTGTAATAAGGAAATGCCAATATAGAAAAAACATACATCATGTGACCATTATGAAATGAATCAGAAGAAATGTTGGAAGGCAAACTGAGAGAACAGACAAAACTGAGAGACAGTTTCTAAAATAAGGCTTACAACTTTTTTTTTTTTTTTTTAATCTGAAGCAAATAAATTTGGTGAATCAACAGTTCATGCAAGTTTTGCTCTCACAGGCATCACAATAAAACAGTCAATGGTACTGAAGTATTAACACAACCACCTTTGGAGAAGTTGATAAATTTTCAGAATGTGCCAAACTCTGGCAACCATGCACATACCATTCTTCTGGCAACCATGCTCATAATAATCATTCAGTCAAGTAACACCATCATTTTCATATTCGTTCCTTTTTTGTTCCATGTTCTAATGGTTTTTGTAAGCAAATCATGATATATTTTGCCTTAAACTTAGCTTTAAAATATGAGCTTTTGAAATTTACCAGCAATGAAGGAAACTGCAGTAAAATTTATGCAAGAATACAGAATTTTGCTGAAAATTTTCTAAAGGGAACAATGAGGAAACTAGATAGCTGCTGTTACTAAGAATTGCTTAAAGCCAAGTCTCTGTGATTTTCTGATTTTTTTTAAATGAAAGTAGATTGCTGTATACTTCAGGAGATGAATAGCACAAAAAGAATTACTGAAAGATGGGAAGAAGAATGTTAGTGTTTTATTTTTGTAATGTATCTTGTAATCTTTATTTAATAATTCAAGTTTATATTTTAAATTGATAAAGTATGTTTTCTTTTTATGTAATGTTTACTGACTTAATGATAAATATTGATAATTTTGGAATCTTTCTTAAAAAAAAAAAGGCATGAAAACCATCAATTTATACCCAATAATAACTTTTACCTCTTCCCTGTAAAATATTGCCAAATTGCATGAAGGTGTCTGCATTAATGATGAGTACCTAATCAAAGGTATGGTTACAAAAGTTCTGGAGAGTAGGAGGCAGTAAAGACACAAAGACAGCATTCTTATCAATCCCCTACAGGAAAAGTCACATAAGTTTAAATTTAAACAGAATGGCCACTACATTAAAATGTCGTCTCTCTGTCCTTTTTAAATCTTGTATCCTCAGTGGCTTACTCATTGGTTGCCTGGTACATGCTTATGTGGGCTGTAATAATGCATAGTTTTTAACTTTTTAAAACTAATTTCATTATTACAATTGCTTGCTTAAGTTTGTGTGAGTTAGTTATATTTACCACTTTAAGTATTATTAACATGGTTTGTTTGATTAAAAAAATTGCAAGACAATTGCAATAGAGAATTTCAATCTTTGTGAGCTGAGAAATATGGCATTATTAATGGTCATAAAGTATCATGTTTTCTATGTACTGGAACAGCGGCATGTAGAACATCATCTAAAATCACCAATGTCTTTGGCAAAAAAGTGAACTAGAGCAGGAAGAATTCATTGCGCATGCAAATAAAAAGAAAAATAAACAGTTGATATCTATAATGTTAGCAAGAGTTGTTGTACCAGTGTCACAAGATTTTCAGCTGCAAATATCATTGCCTATCGTGGAAAATATTTGGTGAGAGAGAATTTTTTAAAGAAGCCTGGTTAATATGCACCCTATCACTTTGTGAAAATTTTGAACATAAAGGTAAAATAATTCAACACATTAAATATATTGTTTTATCTAGAAATAAAGTAAAAGATAGAAACCTAAAACTGGCAGAGAATGTAAAAGAACAGAGACAAAAACTGACATCAAATATTCTGCCTTTATATTCTTATGTCTTGATGAAAGTGTGGATGTAACTAAATCTCCTTATTTAGCAGTTTTTCTCAATATTGTCTAATAAATAACATCTATAAACAATTAATCGCAATAGCATCATTGCCAACAGCTGCTAAAGGCACATATATTTGTATTGCAATTGCTTCAGTAACAACTAGTGCTGATCTCAGTATGGTGGGCAAAAATAATGGTTTTATCAGTTTATTTCAAACACATGCTGAATATTCAATTCTTGAACTCCACTGCATCATACAACAACAATCCTTGTATGCAAAGGATGATTTTGCCTCCCTCACTAATGTAATGGTTGAAGTCACAAGAATAGTGAACCTCATATCATCACAGGCTTTAAATAAACAAAAGTTTGATGCCAAAGTCAGTTTAGATATACGAGAGTATTACAATGTTCCATAGTTGAACTGCAATAATGTACTTTAAAGATTTGTTGATTACTTTGAAAAAAATTCGACTGTTTTTACAAAATAAGGGAAAGATGAATAATTTCACATTTGATGGATGTGGCTTGTAGCATTGGTCATGTGCTGGCATGTCAATGACTTGAATATAAAGCTTCAAGGCACAAACAAAACAGTTATTGTTATGATAGATCTCATTTATGTCTGAAGCTAAACTGCAAGTTTTCAGTAAGATATTATTTCTAAAATCTACAAGTATTTCTCAAACTGGAAAAATTTACCAGAAGTTTGGATTTATATGAGAAACAGACCAAGCAAAAGTCACTGAAAAGTTTTCTTTGGTAGTAAATTCTTCAGTCAAAGAATTTTCATCAAGGTTTTCTCTGTTTACAGAGTTATTTAGCATTCAAATTTATTATGAACCCTGATGTGATTTCACTTCATAACTTATCTAAGTTTGATTGGTTGGAAATTGAAATGCAGCTAATTGATTTTTCATCTAGTTAAAAGTTTATCAGAATAAAGGAAGAGTTGGAATTAATTGAATTTAAAAGAGTATTAATGAGCAAAAATTCTAATTCTAAAATTGTGGAAACATGGAATTCAATTTCAGACACATATAGTCTTAAAAGCTGGCATATGCTTTTTGACAATATTTTCATTTACCTGTGCCTGTAAGTCATTATATTCAGAAATAACATTAAAAATTCAGTTTGAAACTGCATGTGAGATAACTCCAGCTGAGTTTGCATTCTACTAAAAGTAACAAAGTATGAACTTAATATTAATTATTTGCCATCATATTTGCAATAGCAGAAAATACACTAATTTTTTTTTATTAAATAAACATAAAAACTTTTAATGTTATGATTACTGTTGGTAATGTTGTATTACTATGATTTCTGTTTGCACTTAATGGCTGCATTTTTTTAAAAAAACTGTCACAGATGTATAAAGGTTTGCCATCAAAGAGCTAGTTCAGTGTGGGAGCAAATCATGACAGCAAGTTTTTATGGTTTTTCCCATCGGTAGCCTCAATACTAACCATTTTCTTGAAAAAAGTTAAAAATGGACATATTAAGCATTTGTGAAATATATAAAGAAAAGCTTAAGGTATTTACTCGTGTTTCAGTTTAATAACTTTTGTTATCAGTTGCATAGTTTGTTAGTAATTTTTAAAGTGTTTCATGGACTTATGAATAACTCTGTATTTTAAAACTATGTAGTATTATTGGGAATTCTATATTAAATAAGAGGCATAGGGAACATTCATTTCAGTAACATTCTGACATGTAGACTATGTAATCCTTAAACTTAGCACCGGGACTGCAGTGATTATTAACCGAAATGATTGCTGTGAAAATGAAAACTTACCAATAAGTAAAAAATCTTAGCTACAACAAAAAACTATTCTATGCTGAATTCAGACAAATGTTTTAAGCATATTGACTTTTACTTTTTCTTTGAAAAATACAGTGATGTTTTACAAAATAGTAACTGATTTTTGAAATATGAATATAATTGAGTGAGGAATCTGTTATTTATATTAGTACGTACTAAAAGAATTTAATATTGTAGGTGTTTATTGTTTATTTCTATACTGGTAAACTGTGCTAAATAATTAAATGGATACAAAGCAAGATATGTTTGACAATACGCAATCTCAGTTGATGGATTCATCATGGAACACAAATGAGGTAATGAGTTTAATCTTATTAGGTTTATGGCTGTATATCTTACTTAGTTTCAGTATTTTATGTTAGTTTTTTAAATAATAATATGATTTTACTGTGTATGCTTTCTTTCTATTTCTTTTCCCCCCTTTTTTTTTAATCTGCAAACTTACCAAAACTTTCACGTAGATCGAATGTTATTAAATATGTCATTAGAAAGTGTTTTTCTTGTCATGTTATTAAATATATCATTCGAATGTTATTAAATATATCATTCGAATGTTATTAAATATATCATTCGAATGTTATTAAATATATCATTAGGAAGTGTCTGCAGGTTATATTCAAATATTCATTAAAGCACAATATGTTTAAAAATTTCATAAATTAGATAGAGCTAACTAGATTTAGAATGCATATATGAATGGGAAACAAGAATTATATCATATAGTTTAAGATGTCAATGGTAAGTTTAGAAATCAGAAATGAAAAGAATGAAGCATTACACAATTTTTTTTGGAAACTTGTATGATTTGTACTTTTGATCAGAATGTAAATTGATTTAAGAAGCATATTTACTTTCTGTTCAAAATTTTGATTTTCTCTAAGTGTGTTAAAGTTAAAAATGCAACTGTACTTAAGTGTTTTGATGTGCAATTTATTTCTAATTAATTCAGAAAAAAAATAATGCATTAGAATTAATATGATATCCTGTGAGACCACAGTAGTTATTTCAGAGAACAGATTGAGAATTAGGAGATAATTTTTGTTTAGCTTATAGTGTGGGAAGGAAACTGCACCTTGTCTCCCTATAATCTTAAGTGTATTCAAGTCTAGAATTCTGGCTGTCTAAACCATTCTTTGAATAGCTTTTCTCTGCAAGTATTCATTGGCAAATTGAGCCTTGCCCTTTATTAAAAGAACAGTTCTGAAATGTCTTGCCAGTTAGTTCTTTTAAAAGGAGGAAAAGGAATAACCCAACATCAGTTCCAAAATATCTTTAAAATGCTGCAGAATCCTTATAGCATGCAGTGTTTTGAATGTCCCTTTTGAACTTGTAGGGTGAAATTGGCTACTTAATATAATGCTGCACCAGATCTGCAAATGAATTTCGCTTTAAATGTCATTATTACTTTTGTTATTTTCCCAAAGAAGAACAATTTATTTTTTAAACTGTAAACCTGTTTTGTAAAAAGAAATATAGTGCGAGGTCTGAGATCTGGAATCGCCGGGAATTTTGCATTTTAGATTATGAGTTTAAATCTGGTAATATGACATGTAGAAATTACAAAGCACATATGCTTTATTAATACAGGGTACAGTCAAAAGTCGTTAATCCGGACTCGTCGGGACTTTGGCGATTCCGGATTATCGATTTTTCCGGATTATAGATCATCAGTTTAAATCTCGTAAGATGGCATGCAGAAATTCTAAAATTAAAAATATGAAACCGTAATTTATGAAATAAAGAACAATTATGATCTAAAGGGTATCAAAAGTTGCAAAAAGAAAAAGCTTAATATTTATTTGTTTACTTTATTAAACATTTCTTTCAATGTAAGTTGTTTAAGTTTTGCTTCGTTTCATGTGATAATACTTTCTCTTTAATTCTATTAAACAAACATAATTTCTTTGTTCAGTTACAAAGTTCCGCTGTTCAAGTCCTATAATTGCTGTGTCGAGAACACCGACTAATTTGTCAATCGAAATTTTTTCCTTTTCAATAACCTCTGTCACTTTCTTCGCTATCGAAAGCGAATTATAATGACGAGGAACTTGTTTTAAATCATATCAAAAACGGAGCATATCGAGATGAAATACTACATTTGGTAAGGAATTATAAGCCATATAAAATAAAAACATCTGCGCTGAAGATAAGGATAGTGCTGACAGATCAACTTCCAATTCATTACGCGCCCGCCGCGGCTATCCCCCCGCCGAGCAGCGTGCAATTGATAAACAGATTTCGGATTTCAAAACATACTTTCGCTTTAGATCCTTTACATATTAACAAATATATATCGGAAATTCTATTTGATATAATCAAAAGTTTAAGCTTACTTTTATAAAATTGCTCTTACAGTCTGCAAAAAATAATAAGCCGGATCCAATTCGAAAATTAAGGAACAACGCAATCATCAATATTAACTGAAATAGATAATTAGATAATTTTAGCTTATACGTCCATTATACATAAAACGTGCACACGAAAACGTATTCTGCACTTGCGCACACTCATATGCGCAGTCGTAAAAGGTCTTACGCGCACGCGTAAACGCCTATGCGCATGTGTTAACGCGGCACATGCGCAGAAAGTTTTTAGTTTTGAGGTCCGGATTATAGATAATTCCGAATTATGGGTGTCCGAATTAACGACTTTTGACTGTATTTGTTTTTAAACTGATGCTACTCAGAGCCATCAATAGCTCGAACTATCAGCTATAATATCACCAAATTTGATAGGGGAGATAGTATCACTAAGTTTGGTAGGTGGGACTAATAACAATATGAGGAAATAGATTCTGTAAAAAGTAAATAGTTTTGAATGTTGCCGATAGAGGGGCATGTGGTGCTGTTCTAATCTACACAGCGGAGATTTTGGCAAGTCTGTAAGAAAGGGAAATTTCAGTGCAATGCTGCTTTAATGTAGCAAATTAATTACTTCAAATGGTTCAGAGAAGATATTTCAGTGCATCATAGCACTTTATTCAGTAAAAGCACTTCCTTGGCAAATAGATTTCTCATATTGTGACCATCTTTCTCATGGATCTCACATTGCATCCTATACACAATATTCTCGAAGGTTGAATGTAGCATGTCACCAGGAATGTTCAGCACAGCTTGTGATAGGTTGTTCTTTAAGCTCATGAAGGCCATGATCCCCATCAAGATAGACCCTTTAACTTCACATAAAATCTCACAAAAATGTCACAAGGGGTTAGATCCAGAGAGCAAGGCTGCTATGCAAGTCGAAAAAAGTGGTTTCAGGCTCTTTCTTCTGTAAATTGGTGGTGCAACGGCTAGACCAATATGTGGTGGTGCTCCAATCTGTATAAAAGTTACTTGATATAGCAACTGCCTCTGCTAAAGTTGTGGAATGACAAAACTAGTTGGCATATTAAGATACCTTAGTATGATAAGGGTATAAGTGTGTGGTCCTGTTAGAATAATGTTCTCAAGAAAATAGTGGTCTGTTGATAAAATTTCCTATGAAGAGACATCAAACTGACTTTTGGTGGATATAGTGGGATTTTCTGAACTGCATGGAATTTTTTGGATGCCCAACTGTGAATATTAACGGTCCCATTTGCCCACAAAATTCTTCCCAGCCAAGCATCATCGACCTCTATCCTTGCAAGAAATGTCAGAGCAGACACCTCCCATTTATCATAATTGTTCTGTTTTAATTCCTGCCTGCAGCTTATCATGTTGGGGGCAGAAGTAAAGAACTTTCAGATTGGCTGTACAATTCAAAGATTTAAATCCAGTTGTCACACTATAACACACTATCACCTTTACCACTAGCAATGGTTCCATAGGTGCCATCGCAATATCAGTAATTGTCTGTTCTGATGCCAGTTTCCACCTTCTACCAATCCGAATTACTAAGGATCCTATTTCTTCAAATTTTCCCCTTTATGTAGGTTATGACTTCTAAACTCATGAAGAGTGGCAGTTGCATTCAAATGATGAAGATAAAACCACTTCATAAGTAATGCTTGCTGAGGTAGAGTTGAACCCAGCTAACATTTGAAATGTGGATTAGTGTTTTTTCTGCATCTTTATAGACTGAATTGCTGATGCTGCCATAGTTTATATAACTCGGTATTTGCATTTTCAAATTTTGCCTGTGTTTCATGCAAATTTTCAGCTGTGTATGCTAGAACAGTGTTACATTTTCCCATATTAGCAACTTTCAGAACTATTTCTTTTTGACATAATCTTTTTTCCCAATGTTGTCATTAATCCTCATACCAAATTTAGTGGCATTCCAATTTGATAGATCAAGTTATAGATAGTTCTGAGATGGATCAATTAAAAAAAAAGTCTCATTTTTTTAGAAAGAGTTATTTTGAACAAAGAGAGAATTTTTCTGAATCACCACCACATGCAATTAAAAAATGACTTGATACAAAATTGGGGATGTTTTCTGAAAACTGTGTTCTTATATTTGCTGTTCTGTTAGTTGATAGATAATTCGGCATTGTGATCGCAATATAAAACTCCAATTGTATCATCTTCGTTAAGCATTTCTTCTGACATTATATTAATTAGAAAATTTTGCTTTTTCTTGTGTTATCCCAAAATTTCTCATCATCATGAAATTTGGTAGCTGGCTGCAAATTATGTGACGCATTCTGAAAAGTATTCCTGTATGGTCTGACTTCATCAATTTTAAAAAGCTACTTACATCTGCATTTCATTACATTCAAAAATCCAATATTCATTGGCTGATTGATGGATGTACTGTTCTGCAGAAAGTTTAAAATGAAGCTAAACTGTATGAAACTTAATAACAAATACAAATATCTTGTGTCAGTGTCATCTTTATAGCATTGTGGGTCCCCAGGCAAACCAGTATGCTGGGGCCTTTATGACAACCACTCACAGAAATGAAATATCAATGGATGAGCATTGGACAGCTCAATAAGTGCCCAGTGGGTCCATGCATTAAGATGGCCCTAGGATGCTGTATTCTTATAGTAGTACAACAACCATCTCAAAATATCGCATTTCTTGGCTATTGGCTAGGCTGCTATCTCATTCATCTACTGTTATTAGATTGGTGCTTTGGTGATCAAGTCTTTCCTCATCCTCTACTTTTACTTGAGACTTAATTATTTTTGCTTTATGCCTGTTCCATCTACTGAGTCAAATAGATAAGCATAAAACTTTCTTACATTCAGAAGTAAATTTTTTAACCATAAATTATCTCTTACAAGGATATGAAAAATAATCGTTAAAAAAAAGAAAATTTCTTTATATAATCTGAAGATACATAACATGAAAAAATTTTAAAAAGAAAATGCATTTGTGAATTCTATGAAATATCAAAAAAATTAATCTATGCCAAATAATTACATGAAGGAATTAATTCATTCAGTTTATGCGTAATATTTTATGAATGTATTTCTGTTTGCTTGTGTGTGATGGCAGAAAGTATTAATGTAGTAGGAGCTTCTGAGATTTCTCCTACTAGATCTGATGCATAGAATTGACAGGTAAATTTTACTTCATTCCTAGAAAAGTGTTGTTAACATACTGCTGTTACTTTAATATGTGTTTATCAGATATTAAAAATTTAGTTTTTCTCATTAAAAAGCATATTAATTGTAGCATTAAATTTTAATTTTGTGATTTATTAGTGTCTTTTTTTCTATTTACATCATTCTAAATATGTATGTTTCAGATAACTTTGTAAAATAGTATGCCGCAATATTAAGTTTTGTATTAAATTGTAGTACAGAAAAATAAATTATTAACTTTACAACATTACTACAGACTGGTGACACTATGAATGAAATTGCATCTGAAATTATAGAAGATATTATCTTGGAATTATGTTTTGAAGTTCATCGAGCAGTGAAACTGGGCTTCTTTTTCTTGTATGAAGACAAAGAAGTGTAAGTATTTGTGTGTTTTTGTATCTTATACATTTTTGAATTGAGGATTTAATTGAAATAAGATTATTTTATCCAATCGAAGCAGTATATTATAGGAAATGTAACTGACAGTAGTTTAAGATACATTAATTATTCTTATATATGCCACTGTAATCTCCTTGGGCAATAATATCAGCCATTCACTGTGATTATCCACATCCCTGAAAAGTATTGACAAGACAGAGTACTGTGTTACCAAAACAGGCAACCCGTGACATTGGCAAAATGTATTTATGTGCCATACCAGATATGGGGGCATGCAGCAGATGAGTACACATTTCCATCTTCATCTGTAACAGCCATTTTTCTGATAAGTATTTGTTTTTGATGATAACTGTTGATGAAAAATGGATTACCTACAAGAGCTTCATTAGGAAAAGAACATACTGACAACCTGCCTCCTTTACCACTAAACCAAGCTTAACCCTTTCATGGGCCGTGGGAAGATTACTTCCCACCTACATGATCCTGGGAAATACACCTGTGGGAAGCGCAAAACCCACTATAATATATTGGCTTTGGTATTATAACGTTGGGAACTCTAACTAAAACAGAACAGTACTAAAACAGAAGTACCTTGCCCACTTTCAGTATTGTGCTGCCATCTGTGTTCAATCGATTGAAAACAGGAATTACCACATTTGTTTTGAAAAGTTCGAATGCGTTGTGTGAGATCTGTTCCACTGAGACACCTGTTTTGATTTGACATTTGCATTGCTATACGATTCTGCTACAAAAGTAAGTAAAAACTGTTTTTATTATAACAACGTTCTCTTATTTTGTATATTTCTGCAAGAACTATCTAATATTGAATAATAAATAATGAGTGAAAAGTGAAAATGCTATTGCATCGTGTGTAAAAGCCACATGCAATAGGTATGTTGGAAAAATTAGAATATTTTTGAAAATACATTTGAAAATAACATTCAATTCTACTGAGAAAGAAAAGGATTATTTTGGCATGATTTTTACCGAGGAAATTTTACAGAATATTGAATAATAGAATATATAATACAGAATTGAATATATAATTTTGATATTACAGAAATTGAAACTCATATGCAAAGCAGCCTAAGAAAGGAAGAGATTGGGTCATACCACAAAAGACATTATCCTGAACTGGAAAGAAATCACATCAGAAAGAATTGAAAGCATGGGTAGGTATGCATATACTCATGGGTATAACATCAATTGCCTGAACTAAAAACTTACTGATAAAAAACATAAAAGTCAGAGCAACATAAAAGTGGAGCACAGACCCTATTCTCAAGTGTTCAATCAGTAGCAAGAATAATAATCGCAAAGAGGTTCAAAAAAGTAATTGAGATTTTACACGTAAACGATAACAGCACAAATACCATGTGGGCAACTTGGGCATGATAAACTCGATAAAGTCAGGACCAATCCTCTCACAGCTCAGTGATTCCATACCTAAAGTCTACGAACCTTCGTCAACATTATGAAAAGATGAATGTATGATAGCTTTCAAAGGGAGAACTTCATTGAAGCAGTATATACCAGTGAAGCCTATAAAAAGAGGTTACAAGGTGTGGTGTTTAGCAGACTCTAAGAGTGGATATATTCAAAAATTTGAAATTTATTGTGGAAAAGAAACTTTTGATAATAAGGGTAAAATATTGAGCTTAGGGGAAACAAACTAAACTAACGGAAGATGTGAAAACAGACAGGACAATCTATAGCCTATGATAACTATTTGACATCTTTTAGGCTTGCAAAAAGTCTACTTATAAGTGGTCTGTTTTCTGTGAGGACTGTGAGGCCGCAAAGGAAGGATCTTCCACCAATGCTGAAGGCTAATAACAAACTACAAAGAGGGGAATCAATGTTCCTAACTAAAGAAGGTGTTGCTGCAATAAAGTGGATGGACAAAAAGGCTGTTACATTGTTGACTACTGCACACAATTCAGGGATTATTACATCTGTAAATCGTACACAAAAGGATGGTACTAAAACAGAAGTACCTTGCCCTAACAGCTGTTGCCGTATAGCTGTTGCCCTAAAGCTGTTGCCGTATATAACGATATCATGGGAGGGGTTGATTGCTTCGATCAAAGAAAAGAAAGATACCAAATAGGAAGAAGATCTGTAGAATGGTGGCATCTTATTTTTGATTTTCTTATTTATCTTGGCATAATAAATAGTTTTATACTGTGGCAAGTAAACAAGAGAAACAGAAGGTTAGACCACCTAACATTCCATATAGCATTAGCTCGTCAACTAATAGATGGATATTCCTCGAAAAAGGAAAGGCCGTCCTGCTAGCTTCCAAGCAAAAAGATGTGCAGTTCCGGATGATATACGCTTAGCCAATGTGGGAAATCATATGCCAAAGATGGTTTCCAACTATAGATGATGTAGAAAATGTAGCACAAATTCCCAAGAAAAGAGGACCCGCTATATGTGTGCAGTATGTGATGCACCCTTGTGCATTGCAATATGTTTCTCATCTTTTCACGGCAAATAATCGCCTTTAAATTGAATTTTCTCTATGACCATAAAAGGTCCCGTGGGAAGTATACTTCCCACCCCTAGAATTTAAATGTAAACAAAAAATTTAGCAAAATAAAATATATTTCCTTAAATGCTATTGTTTAGTTGATAATAAAACATAAAAAAAACGGGAGAAATTCAAAAGAGAAATAAATGGCCCACGAAAGGGTTAAGCTTGATAAGATAATGTTGAGTGTATGGTAAGGTGGCCGAGGTCCAATACATTAAAAGTTTTTAAAACCTATGAAAAGCTCAATTTGGAGAAATATTGTCAGCAAATGGAAGATTTAAACAACAAACAAACACGTCAAAGTGAGAAAAGAGGCCGATGATATTCAATAGAGAACACATCATACTGTGTATCATGATAATGCTAGACAACATGCTGATTTGGCAACTTGTCAAAAAATCACACACTAGGAGATTTTGCTGCCTCTTCCATACTCCACTGATCTAGACCCTCCGATTATCACTTGTTTCTCTCTTTGCAAAAAATTTTTTTGAACTAGAAAAAATTCAAAACTGAAGCAGGTGTCAGCCAAGCACTCACTACATGAGTTCTTCATTCCTAGACAAGACATTTTCAAAAAATGTTATTTACAAATTATCATCATACTGGCAAGAGGTAATAAGTAATGATGTAAATTATATCATTCAATAAATATTATTAAAGGTATGAAAAATGGTATTATTTTCTTTTGCTTTCTGGTAGACCTTATACAATTGGAAAAATAGCTTAAAAAAGTGAAAACCTTCAAAAAAGAAGTTTAAAAATGATGAAAAAAGAAGTTTTAATGAAAAATTGGAATTGGGTTATTTTTTCACCTTTGAAAGAGACCTGTTTGCTTTTTATACTCAAATTCTGTATCTGCATTAACCCTTAGCACTCTGTTGGCTCCTCTATGGAGCCGTCCGTCATTTGTTCCGTAACTCCATAGGCTCCGCTGCAGAGCCTAATGTTTTTAGCAGGATAAGGCTTAAGAATTATCAGCAATGGCAGCACCAAATGCTGAAGGGAATTACTTTGAAGGTGATAATGTCATGGAGAACTGATTCTGTAAGTACAATGATTTATTGGATCAGTCTCGTTTTTTTTTTTTTTTAATGTCACACCTCGTATAATTCTATTAAAAAAAATTAAAATTTTGATATAATATCATAACAAATCAATATTCAGAATGAGTAAAAGCAAATGCACAGTATTGCAAAATGAGTTTCCTGAGTGTGATAATTCAGAACCACAGATACTACAAATATGATACAGCATTCAGGCACATAGAAATATAACCACTGTATTAAAAGTTATTCAAAATACAATCAACTCCCAATTAAGTGGGTTGTGGATTAACTAGTGCCTTATCTAAATATAGATTATAATATATTTCTGAATATAACCCAATCCATTATATTTGAGCCAAGGCCTACCCCCAAAAAAGTTACTCAAAATTCAAAATGAAAGAGAGGGTAGAATCCTATAATGTTTAAATATGCGTAAAGGTGTTGCCAAGTGAAATGGATGGAATATTTTCCAATCAAATTGCTGTAAATAAGAATATGCCTTTTAAAACTCTGATAACCCTTTCTTAAGCTAGCACATTTTTCCATTTCATTTGTCATCTTGTATAGGATCCATGGTATCTTTTCTAATCTTATTTTTTATGCTATTTTACTTTTTGCATTGAAGATGAGAAGGAAGAGAAATTCTTATATAGCAAATTTCAAACATCAGGTGATCATGTTTACAAAAAATTTTAACAACGTTATGGCTGCTCAGCATTTCTATGTAAATTGAAAAACAGTTTCAAGCGTGGGGAAAATAGTCTTCAGTTAGCAGAGATGCTAAAATAAAAAAAAAAAAAAAGCCTTAAATGTTTATTGGCTGTTTCATACCTTGGAGTATACTTACAGCTATCTGAATCAGGTTGCTGAATATGATGAAGTAACCCTTATTCATTCAATTTGAGCTGTGTAAAATTGGCAGAATGGATGAAACTTTCATGTTATTGCTGTCAAATTACGCTGATGATACTCACAGACCTAAGATTATTTTCATGAAGGCAGTGGGGGATGAAAAATTGTTTACCTTGTTTACCTTCTACAGTTATTTTTAAACAAAAGATTGTGCCTAAGGATGTAAAATTCCCAAGAGAAATTTAGTATCTGTTTTTTATCTGTTCCCATTAAAAAAGTTGGATCACTGAGTATGGCATTTGGCTGAAAAGAATATAGAGCTGAAGAAAAAGTTCTGTATTTTATAAAACATTCATGCTGGTTTTGAACTCATTCAGGACTCATCTCGTAGATAAAGTAATTGACAAGTGAAGTGAAAAGAAATAGCTGTATATGTCATACTGGGAGGTATGACATGTATGCTCCAACCACTGGGTGTTTGTTTAAACAAGCCATTTTTAAAGACTTTAGATCTATTAAATGGATGGCTACAGAAGACG